TATGTTGCTGGTCCAATCTTCTACATGATCTTGAAAGGTCCAAAATATTTGAAAGCAAGCTTGGGGCGTGGTCTATTGATCAAAGGCAGTTGACCATAGGGTTGCAGTTTCAGAAACACGTCTCCCCCACTACAAATTCTCTAGGGGAGCGGTGTTTGTCATCATCTGCTTTACACTTCTCCAGATCTCTTTGGAGATGTTGTTTCAGATGTTCAACATAAGCTTGTCTTTCCTGAAGCCACTGTTCCATATTAGGAGATGCATCTTCAGGAGGTTTATGGAATTTTCCCATGTGAGGATCTTGTCCATACAAAGCCTTGAAAGGTGAGCAGCCCAGAGAGGAGTGATAAGTAGTGTTGTACCATAATTCTGCCAGAGCTAGCCGATTATGCCACTTGGTGGGAGAGTCATGTACAACACATTTTAGGTACATTTCCAAGCATTGGTTCACTCTTTCCATTTGCCCATCGGTTTGGGGATGTCGAGCAGTTGACATTTGCAATTTGTGACCCAGATTGCCCACGGTTCCTTCTAGAAATGGCTAGTGAAGATGGTATCTCTGTTAGAAGTGATTATCAAAGGAATGTTGTGGGGCTTGACAACATTTTGCATGAACATTTGAGCAACTATTGCAGCAGAATATGGATGCTTGAGGGGAATAAAGTGACTGTACTTAGAATATCTGTCTACCACTACATAATGACACTGTGTCCATTTGATTTAGGCAGTCCTTCCACAAAGTCCATGGTCACATATTCCTCTAGTATCCATTGCATAAGAGTTCACCACTTCTTGTACCCAGACTGGCTGGGCAGTGGACACTGTTTGCATAACAAAAACATGTCCAATTCTGGATAAAGCATCAGTTACCTTGTTCTTTATGGCCTTTTTGTACTAAAATTTAAATTGGAGACCAACTAGTTTTGCCATTGCTTTTTTCTACAAATCAGTGTGAAGTACTTGGTCTTCCAAGTTGCATAAACTCTTGTGATCTATTTTAATTACAAATGGTTCTCTGCTAAGATAAGACCTCCACTTATCCACTTCCATCATTACTGCCATGAATTTTTTCTCATAAGTAGGCAACTTTTGATTATTGATCCCTAGAGCTTTGTTGTAGTAGGCCACAAGGTGGCCCTCTTGAGTGAGGACATCACCAATACCAGTATCACAGGCATCTATCTCTAATGCAAATGATTTGGAGAAATCAGGCAGGCCAACATAGGTGTGGAAGACATAGTTGTTTTAAGCTTCTCAAAGGCCACCTGGGCTGTAGGTGTCCATTGGAAGTTATTTAACTGCAACAGAGGTGTCAGTGGTCTTGCCAAAATGCCATACCATGGAACAAACTTCCTATAGTACCCAGTTAAGCCAAGAAATCCACTCAACTCAGTGAAAGAGGTGGGTTGGGGCCGCTGTTGCATATCTCTTATTTTCTCATGATCTGTGGCCACACTTTGTCAGAAATCACATGTCCCAAGTAGCTGATTTGCTGGGTTGCAAAACAACATTTGCTCATTGAGGGAGTCCTGGATAAGGGGGTATCCGGACAGCCGGACTATACACTTTGGCTGGACAGTTGGACTATGAAGATACAAGATTGAAGACTTCGCCCCGTGTCCGGATGGGACTCCCCTTAGCGTGGAAGGCAAGCTTGGCGGTTCGGATATGTAGATCTCCTTCTTTGTAACCGACTCTGTGTAACCCTAGCCCCCTCCGGTGTCTATATAAACCGGAGGGTTTGGTCTGTAGGACAACAACAATCATAATCATAGGCTAGCTTCTAGGGTTTAGCCTCTACGATCTCGTGGTAGATCAACTCTTGTAATACTCATATCATCAAGATCAATCAAGCAGGAAGTAGGGTATTACCTCCATCGAGAGGGCCCGAATCTGGGTAAACATCGTGTCCCCAGTCTCCTGTTACCATTAGCCTTAGACGCATAGTTTGGGACCCCCTACCCGAGATCCGCCGGTTTTGACACCGACATTGGTGCTTTCATTGAGAGTTCCACTGTGTCGTCGCAATAAGGCTTGATGGCTCCTTCAATCATCTTCAATGACGCAGTCCAGGGGGAGGTTTTCCCTCCCGGACAGATCTTTGTATTTGGTGGCTTCACACTGCGGGCCAATTCGCTTGGCCATCTGGAGCAGATCGATAACTACACCCCTGGCCACCAGGTCAGGTTTGGAAACCTAAACTACACTGTCGACATCTGCGGAGACTTGATCTTCAGCGGATTCAAGCCCACGTCAAGTGCGCCGGACAGTCTCGACGAGCATGACCTAGATCTGCCATCGGACAGTACTCGGCTTATCGCACGTGTGGCTGCTCCGGGAAACAATCCGGAGCAGACTGTGCCATCCGAGGACGGGTGGATGGACCCCGCCACGGAGGTAGCACACTCATCGGCCTTGGATCCGAACACTCCTCCCACCTCCTATGAGGTCGGTACCTTCGGACCCTCGGACTCGTTTCCGGCTACAGGATCCGAACCGCGTACGCCATGCCTATCGAATCCTATTGGGCACCAGTCATGGAGTTCACCTCCGCGGATATCTTTCAGCACTCGCCCCTGGGCGACGTGCTAAACTCATTAAGGTCTCTCTCTTTGTCAGAAGACTCTTGGCTGAACTATGTCCGGCTCGAGTGGGAAGCGGACGACGAAGAAATTCGGCACCCACCCACCACCCACTTAATAGCCACTGTCGATGACCTAACCGACGTGCTCGACTTTGACTCCGAAGACATCGACGGTATGGACGACGATGCAGGAGACGAACAGGAACCACTGCCTATCGAGCGCTGGACAGCGACCTCATCATATGACATATATATGGTGGACACCCCCAAAGCAAGCAATGGAGATGAGGCGACGGAGGATAAACCCCCGGAGAAGCAATCTAGGCACCGGCGCCATAGACGCCGCTCCAAGCCCTGCCATGGCAAAAATAACGATACTGGCACAATAGATGACAATAGTCCTGATGGTGCTGAAGACGAAAACAATCCTGCCGAGCCAGGCTTCGAGCAGGCCGAGCAAGAAGATGGGCAAACTAGCCCTAAGGAACAGATAACAGATGGAGAATCAGAGGATGATAATTACATGCCTCTCTCCGAAGACGAGGTAAGCCTTGGCGACGACGAATTCATCGTGCCTGAGGATCCCGTCGAGCAGGAGCGCTTCAAGCGCCGGCTTATGGCCACTGCAAAAAGCCTGAACAAAAAGCAGCGATAGCTTCAAGCTGATAAAGATCTGCTAACTGATAGATGGACCGAGGTCCTGGCTGCCGAGGAATATGGACTCGAGCGCCCTACAAAAAGTTACCCTAAGCGTAGGTTGCTACCTCACAGGGCCGGCTTTGGACCAGTGCGAGAGGTGCGACGGCCCGGGGCCCAGACTAAAAGGGGGCCCATAGTATATACGCAGTATATATATATTACGGAGTAGTGAAAAAAATGACTAACGTCCAGCCCTGGTAGCTCTGAGCCCACCCAGCAAGCAGCACGCAACCATCACTAGGGCCTGCCCAACCAAACCCAGGCAACACACGTTGCCTTGTCGTTCTCCTATCCAGGGAGACGCACCGACACAGGAGCACGGAGACGCATCGACACAGCAGCACGCCGCCTAACACCGACACCAGCGCACCGCACCGAACCTAGAGCTGAGTTTGGGGATCAAATCAGCAAGAATTCGGGGAAGAGATCAACTGATCAAGATCATCATTCAGAAGGTAATAATTCTCAGATCAATCTATTCATAAATCATAATCTATAGGCGAATATTTTCCGGTGGTCTCAATTCTGAAACTTCTCATCTAAAAACATAACATCTTCAATCTCTGATACTGTATTCGTGTTTCTCACTTGCAGTATAATCATGTTACCTAAAAAACATCTATCTGGCTGTGAGAAAAGAAACAACAAGAAAAGAGTAGACAAGTTGATTAAATCTCAGGAAGGCGCTATGGATATGTTTGTCGTGAGGACGGGTGCTGCTACAAATTCAGAGCAATTATATATCACAAATGGTGAAGAAAAACCTGATGATACTAAGAATGCCGTTGAGGAAAATCATGTCGAGGAAAATCATGTTGAGGAAAATAATGTTGCGGAAAATGATGCCGATCAGCACACGATAAATAATGCTACGGAAAATAATGCTGCGGAAAGTGACCATGAGAATCTTGGAAATGCAGATGAGCAGGGTTCTTCTTTTGATATATATGATCCTAGAACTTGGAATATTCTTGACAATAAATCAAGAGATATTCTCATTGAAAAAGGACCTATAAGGGAATACAATCTTGAGTTTCCCGAAGATGAAATTAGTGGCAGGCATTTTTCATATGATTACTACACAAGAAAGTTAAGGAATGGCGAGTTCAGTGATCGGAGGTGGTTAGTGTACTCTAAACACATGAATAAAGTCTACTGCTTTTGTTGCAAATTGTTTAAATCTAGAAAAAGCAAAAGTCTGCTAGCATCCGAGGGATTGAAGGATTGGAGACATCTTAGTGAGAAGCTCAAATTGCATGAGAATAGTGTTGAGCATATCACTAACATGAATACTTGGAATGAGGTAAGGCTGAGGCTAAGTAAGAAGGAAACAATAGATAAAGACATGCAACAAGAGATTGCAAGGGAGAAGGAGCGATGGAGACTTGTTTTAATTAGAATTGTTGCTGCTGTGAAATTTCTTGCTAAACATAGTCTGGCTTTTCGAGGATCGAATGAGAAATTATATCAAGATAACAACGGAATTTTTTTGGGAGTAATTGAAATGATGGCAGAATTTGATCCTGTAATGCAAGAGCATCTTCGGCGCATTCAGAATAGTGAAATCCATCATCATTATATTGGCCATAATATTCAGAATGAGTTAATTTCCCTTCTTGGTCGCACTGTTAAATATTCTCTGTTGAGGATAATTAAGGATGCAAGGTATTTCTCTGTCATCTTGGACTGTACACCTGACGTGAGCCATCAAGAACAAATGACTCTAATTGTGAGGTGTGTAAACATGTCAAGTACTACTACAAAAATAGAGGAGTTTTTTCTGGAGTTCTTGAAGGTGGATGATACATCCGGGCTTGGACTTTATAATGTGTTAATAGATTCACTTAAATCTGTTGGTTTGGATGTTAAAGATGTTTGTGGACAAGGGTATGACAATGGTTCGAACATGAAGGGAAAACACCAAGGGGTACAGAGCAGACTACTTGAAACTAATCCAAGAGCATTATTCATGCCATGCGCTTGTCATAGCCTGAACCTTACTCTTAGTGATATGGCAAAATCTTGCGATAAAGCTATTACCTTCTTTGGTGTTGTGCAAAGAATTTATATATTGTTTTCAAGGTCTACTAAAAGATGGCAGCTATTGCTTGATCATGTTCCAAAAATGACAGTTAATTCTTTGTGTAACACTCGATGGGAGAGTCGAATAAAGAATGTTCAGGCTATCAGATATCAAGCGCCCGAGTTAAGAAAAGCATTACTGGAATTGAAGAGAACTTTTACCGATGACGCCAAGACTAAGAGCGATGCAAAATCTTTGGCGAGCGCACTTGAGAAATTTGAATTTACTTGGCATGGTCATTTGGCATGACATTTTGTTCACTATAAACATGGTGAGTAAGAAGTTGCAGTCTAAGTTTGTGTGCATTGATGTTACTCTTAAACAGATTGAAGGTGCCATCTCATATTTTAAGAAGTACAGAAATGACGGCTTTGCAACTAGTCTGGATATTGTGAGATCTATTGCAATTGACATGGGTGTACAACCTTTGTTTCCTGTCCAGAGACGTATTACTAGAAAAAGACAGTTTGATGAAATTAGTGGCAATGACGAAAATAACCAGAATGAACAAACGCAAGCAAGTGAGGTGGAATCATTTAGAGTTAAATACTTTTTGGTGATGATTGATGTTGCAATTGCTCCCCTAACTACTAGATTTGAGGAATTGAAGAAATTTGGGAGCATATTTGGTTTCTTGTTCAACTCGAAAGAGTTGAAGTCCTTGGGTGATAATGATCTAAGAAGATGTTGCACTAATTTTGTCTACAAATTCACTCATGGTAAGTCAGCAGGTGTCGATCTAGATGATTTCGTTTCTGAACTAAAAGTACTGCAGATGACATTGCCAAACACATTCATGTCAGCAGATCAGATATTTGAGTTTGTTAGAGATGCGGATTGTTATCTAAATGTCTCAATTGCTTATCGTATCCTTTTGACCGTACCTGTGACTGTTGCATCAGCTGAAAGGAGTTTCTCAAAATTGAAACTATTGAAAAATTATTTGAGGTCAACGATGTCTCAAGAAAGATTGAATGGATTGGCCATGTGCTGCATTGAGAAGAATATGCTGGATAGTATTGATCTTGACACTCTCATTGATGATTTTGCGTCAAAAAATGCACGAAAGTCTCGTTTCACATGATCACTAGAGGTTAGCATGCTATTTCTATATGTTTTTTCTGCGTTGTAACTTCCATGATACTTGGTTTGGAACAAAGACATGGAAAATAACATATGCTTGATTCTACTAAAGAAATATTAGTTTTATAATTTTATAGCAATTTTATATTTTCATGTATCAAATTGGATTTTTCTCTCTATTGGGCCCACTGGTCGGGTTCGCACCGGGGCCTTCAAAATCATAGAGCCGACCCTGCTACCTCAACTCGAGGAGGAGGCGTTAAAGCCCACACTACCAGCGCATGATGCGGCTGACCTGCCACCCCGTGGCCGCGACAAAGCGGTGTTCAAGCCCGAAGTCCAGACCGCACCCCGTCGCCAAACAAGCAAAAACGCGCAGGCCGGGGGCCACACGAAGGACCTGCGAGATGTATTGGAAAACAATGCGCGATGATGACCGACGCGCCAGATACACTAAACAAAAGTCCGGCCGGGCCAAATACAACAAAGCAGAATCATTTGAACTGCGTCGTGATGTAGCCCGACATAGAGGCACCGCACACCCCCTATGCTTCACTAATGAAGTAATGGATCATGAATTCCCAGAAGGGTTCAAACCCGTAAACATTGAATCATATGATGGCACCACAGACCTCGCGGTATGGATTGAAGATTTTCTCCTACACATTCACATGGCCCGCGGAGATGATCTACATGCCATCAAGTATCTCCCACTAAAACTCAAGGGACCAGCTCGGCATTGGCTGAATAGCTTGCCGACAATCTCCATCGGGAGTTGGAAGAACCTAGCAGACGCATTCCTTGACAACTTTCAGGGCACTTATGTGCGACCACTGGATGCTGATGACCTAAGTCACATAACACAACAGCCCGGAGAGTCAGCCAGGAAATTTTGGACACGGTTCCTGACTAAAAAGAACCAAATTGTCGACTGTCCGGATGCCGAAGCCCTAGCGGCCTTTAAGCATAACATCCGCGACGAGTGGCTTGCCCGACATCTAGGCCAGGAAAGGCCAAAGTCCATGGCAGCCCTCACAACACTCATGACCCACTTCTATGCGGGCAAGGATAGCTGGTTGGCTCATAGCAACAACACAACAAGCAACCCTGGCACATCAAAAGCCAGGGATAGCAACGATAAAACACGACGCAACAAATATAAGCGTCGCAAAAACGGCGATAACGCCGAAGACACGACAGTCAATGCCGGATTCAGAGGCTCAAAGTCCGGTCAGCAGAAAAAGCCATTCAACAAAAACAATTCAGGTCCGTCCAGTTTGGATCGCATACTCGACCATCCATGCCAAATCCACGGCACCCCAGTAACACCAGCCAATCATACCAACCGAGAATGCTGGGTCTTCAGACAAGCCGGCAGGTCAAGTGCCGAAAACAAGGGGAAGGGGTCTCAAAGCAACGACAATGACGAGGAGCCCCGATCACCAAAAACGGGAGGACAGAAGAAATTCCCTCCCCATGTGAAAATGGTGAATATGATACACGCAACCTATATCCCCAAGCAGAAGCGTGAACCAAGGGACACCCATGCAATAAAGCCAGTCGCCCCAAAACTCAACCTATGGTCCTCTTGTCCGATCACCTTCGATCGAAGGGACCATCCTACCAGTATCCGTCATGGCGATTCAACCGCATTGGTCCTCGACCCCGTCATCAATGGATCCCACCCCACACAAGTCCTCATGGACGGTGGCAGCAGCCTGAACCCGCTCTATTAGGATACACTGCACAAAATGGGCATCAATCCCTCGAGGATCAAACCCACAAAAACCACCTTTAAAGGTGTCATACCAGGTGTAGAGGCCTGCTGTACGGGCTATATCACACTGGAAGTGATCTTCGGACCTCCGGACAATCACCGTACCGAAGAGTTACTCTTCGACATCGTCCCCTTTCACAGTGACTATTAGGCCTTGCTCGGACGAACCGTGTTCACTCGGTTCAACGCGGTGCCACATTATTCCTACCATATACTCAAGATGCCTGGTCCACGCGGCATCATTACGGTAAAGGGCAGGGCCAAACTCCTCACTGCCGAAGAATCCACTACCGCTTTCACAGCAAGAGCAACAAACAACACCTCCCAATCGAACCTTAAGTCGACGACCAAGCTCACGGACCCTGTAGAAGGAGTCTGAACTACTGTGCGACAGGATAGACCGGCCCGTCCGGAGCTTAATTAGAAACACTCAGGCAAAACTTAAAAGACAAGCCACATACTGCGGCTCAACCGCTTGGTGGCGAAAGACCATTTCTTGCATTTTTATCGCAGGTTCACCTTTATGTAGGCCAGGACGGATGACGTGGAAGCAGCGCGGTCATGTAAGGGAATCGACAGATACTCCCCTCTCTTATAGTACGAATGCACTCCGGATCCGCATACAACCTCCTCCCGCCTGGTCTTAGCAGGTTCTACAGTCATATTTCTTTTTTCCACATTACTTGTACTCATACGCTTATACGTATTACTCAAATACAACATGTGAGTTTTTATGATGTTAGTCTGCTGTTATTTCTTATTAAAACCCTTTTGTTGGAAGGCAGCTGCTTATCGCGAGATGCCTTAGTATGCCAGGGGCTTCATCATACCCATATTACGGCAAAAAAGTTCGAACACCATCACGACAGTTCGGCACCCCGAACTTATAGCATTATATGCATCAGCTCCGAATCATGTGTTGGGTCAATAGTTGGGTTTGCCCGGCTCCTATGTTTTGGCACCTTACGCTCCGCTATATCGGCTAAGGTAGCGCTAGGAGAACTACTGCGATTGTGTCCCGGTTCTTCCGGACAAGCACCTCAGTAGAGAAAGCCGAAAACTGACTATCATGATGTGGCGAGAGCTGGTCATCTGTTCGAGAGGTTGTCAAATCTTTAAGGATTTCTTCTGCATAATGCTATAACCAATGCAGAGTGCGAAGGATCGGTTTTCTTCCGATCAGGCGCTTATAGAGCCCCTCGTGCGGTCTTCCGAACACCAGGGGCTGCGCCTACCATACTTTTAAATTCCTATGGCTAAGTGAGAGTGATAAAGCCCTATAGTATGATTGCCTGGTTCGCTGTGCTGAACACCTCCTTCAAGGACCCAAAACTGGGAAAAGAGTGCTCAGGTTTATCCCGAACACCCCCGTACTCACTGCATGGGGGCGGAAGCCGACGACTGGCCAACTCTCAGGATTAATATATAAAATGGCCACACAAGAGGAAAAACTTTCAAATGACAGGCAATAAATAATAGAAATGACCTTGTTCAAACATTACAACGGACAAACATGACCGTATTCATGGAAATATAATGTCCTTGGTGCATTGCTCCGCTGCAAGGCGGGCTCCTTTCAAGACACCTTCATAATACATTTCGGGCATTGCGGTGCTCCTTACCCTCCGGCGGTCCCTTGGTCATCAGCTTTTCCGCATGCATCTTCCCCCAATGCACTTTTGCACGGGCGAAGGCCATACGCGCACCCTCTATACAGACCGACTGCTTGATGACTTCGAGTCGAGGGCAGGCACTCACAAGCCGCTTCACAAGCCAGAAATAACTGCTTGGAATAGGCTCGGCGGGCCATAACCGGATAAATATGTCCTTCATGGCTAGTTCGGCCGCCTTATGCAGTTCGGTCAGCTGCTTCAGCTGATCGGAGAAAGGCACTGGATAATTCGGCGCCAGATACTGCATCCAGAAGAGCTTATCCGTAGTATTTCTTCCTTCGGCTCGGTAGAATTGGGCGGCATCAGATATGCTGCCCGGCAGCTCCACAAACACCCCTGGAGAAATCAAGAATTAAAACTATCAAACTTGATCTCCTCCTTTAAAAATACTCGCTTTATATATATAAAGCCTTACTAGCCGCAATCTTCCTCGCTTCCTGGATTTCCTTCAGGGCATCCTGGGCTTCCCCCCGGGAATCACTTGTGTCTTGGCGAGCCTGGGAGAGTTCGGATTCTTTCCCTGATAAACTCTGCTCCAAGGTCTCGCATTTTATCACGGCTTCTTAAAGCTTTCGCTCGGCCTCAATAACTCTAGCTTTGTGCTTCTTACGGAGAGCTTGCTCTGTGGCTGCCCTCTTCTCGGCTTCGACCACAACCCTTTTAAGAGCCTCAATTTCATATGTTGCCCCTAGAGCACATCATAAAAATAATTTTATCATGCATAGCTCAACCATTTGTGCCAAATAAACAAGGTTTCCGCATACCTTGGTTGTCCTCCAACTATTTCTTCACTTGGC